CTTGTTCTGATACAACTATGCCAGTCTTCAAACACTACATATTCACTTTGTCTTCCTTAACATCAATTATTGTCTTAATGTTTGCCAGAGTTTTGCTATTTAGTATAACTCAAGTATATAATGTTGCCCACAGAGACCATGCATGCTCCAACAGTTTGAAAATAGTTTGCTTTCTTATGTAGCCCTGCTGACATATATTTAATTGTGCCATGATGAATTAGGAAATCAACTCTCATATACCTTTAATATTTAATAGTTGAATTTCTAGGATTGTTTGATATTTATTCTTAGCTACCAGAACAGACCTAAAATTATATTTCAGTAGGATAATGGCCAATGTATTATTAATTAGATAAACCTTGGTGACTGATTTCAAAGCACAAATTCAAAAAAGGAAATATTTTAGTCTTCCCCTCTTGCATTTTTCTGACTGATCTGAGCCTGGCCAAATTCCGGTACTCACTCATTTGTAAGATGTTAATCTTTGCTATGATTCATAAAAAGCTATGAATCAATTTTATAACCACATTTCAATTAATCAAGTAGTACTTGTTATTTACAAAAACAACATTACCTTGTAGGTTAAGCCACCCCATCAGCCTCATCACTAATTTTGTGTGTGTGTGTGTGTGTGTGTGTGTGTGTGTGTGTGTGTGTGTGATGTGATGGTTTAGAATACAATGTAATGTTTTTGGAGATAAATAAAAAGACATATAAAGTACTATTTGACTAATTGAAATGTTGTTATAAGAGATATATATATTCAGTTATCAAATCAGAGGAGGATGTGCAGTTTGGGTTGAGTTCCTCCATCCCTCCATCCTTCTTAGCGATTCCAATAGCACAAAGTCATCTCCGTTTAGTGATATGGAGTATCTAAAAATGCTTTTGCTCAGCCAAGACAAATAAGCAAAAAGTTAATCTGACGTGCACAAGCTTCAGAACATATGTCTTCACTAATACTACTGTAAATAGCAAAAAATGACATTTAGGTAGTGAATTTAGAAACAGAGTTTGGGTTACAGCCTGGAATGAGCAGCATTTTTTATATACAATTATATTCCGAAAAGTACAAATATAAGGAACTATTAATAGCTTTCTCCTGCTGTTCTGTAACTTGCTGAAGAAACACGGATACCTCATTTTTATTTGCTTAGGATCTTTGGCTGACCACAGTCTATTCCCGCTGACATCACTGGAAGTCCCCTGGCAATGGCGGTACTGCATATTCCCCCAGAGCTGTTGGTTATGTGGTGTTGCAGCTGTTGCCAGAATTTAATACTTATATGGTTTTTCAGCAACTCTTGCACCCGATGGTCACCGGGTCAATGCTTTCTTCCCTCCCTCTTTGGTTTTGTCACACTTTTCTAGTCCACGCTATTGGAGGCTGTTTTTCCCATGGCTGTCCATTGGTCTGTCGCTGTAGTTGTTCAATGTTTTGTTACTATCCAAACACCACCTTGGCGCCTCTATAAACCTCCTATGACTGAGTTGGAGACTTTACTAAAAAACCATATATAATTCGCTATAAAAACAACTTTAGTATTTTTTTTTAAAAAAATAAAGATTTGTTTTCTTTAGCTTGGTTTCACTTTATAATGAGAGCTTTTAAGAAATAAGGATAGGATGGCAATGTCAAAATGGATCATGAATGAGATGGGGGACGATTTGGTTAGCAGGAACCCAATTAATTAACCCTTCATGTTTAGTATAAAGCCTTGGAGAAACCTGCTGTTTTTACAGCATTTGATCACAAGAAAATTAGATACAGATTGTAGCCAGAATTCATCTTTGATAAAGCCAGCTTCTGTTTCTGTTTTCCTAGGAGGGCTTTTTGCAAATTTGTTACCATGTCATATTTTGAGACATATCTGAAAAATGATTGGGAATTTGATTCTATGGGTAACCACTCCTATATAATATAACTATATAATATAACAAAAATATTGGTTACAAGCCAGACATTATCTTTTCATCAGAAAAGGGTATGCATATACTTATTAAAATGTTAACATTCATCTTAAAGCTTAATTTTAAAAGACATGTCAAGGGTAAAAATTTCACTGGCTTTAGTTTACTATTTCAGAGCCCTTCAGTAGCAAAATTGCCCTTATTGGTGGAATACTGTTGTTCTATTAATCTAAAATGTAGGTAGGGCCTCCCACCTTAGAACACAATTCTGGGTGGCTCAAATAACGGTAAAACCAAGAATGAGTAAAAACCATTTTAAAAAAAAACTCATTTCGGCCATTCTCCTCTGATGCCTCCACCTTCAGTTTTCTATCTTACCTATCCTAGTGCCAGGGGGCATATCCAGTTTTTTACAGCCTTCTCAAAGGAGAAAAGGGTGAAGATCTGAGGGCTCCACAAGGAAAGGAATTTCCTAGGGTATAGCTGTTACAAAAAATCACGCTTCCTAGGTCCCACTAGACGGTAACGTTTCAGGGAAGGGCTTTTAATGAACTGTTCCCATTTTCCAGCAATAGTAGGTTGCTCTTCTTTGTTCCAATGCCCCCCAAACAGTTGTAACATATTAGGTAAAAATGGGATTCAGACACTGGGCTTCTTAGCCTGGTCAACCTGTCTGACTTTATCAGTCAGACATGTACACCTGATCTGGGTTATTGCTAGAAAAAGTTTCAAGCATTTTCTTCATACTCACTTTCTTACAGTGATAATGTGCTCGTAATCATACTAACATTATCAAAGAAGAACAAGATCTAATGTAGGGCTGAAAATAACTTTTCAGTTTGAGAATGCATGTTATTCATAGGATGCCACACAATTGGACCCATTGTGTTGATAGAAATAATTCAGGGGGAGGGTATTTGGGGGCAATTGTGGGCAACTCCGCTCTAGAGATATGGAACACTTTCATTAATCTAGGACAACCCCCGGTCTGTGGACCAATACCGGCCCACGGCATGCCAGCAACTGGTCCGCACAAATAAGCAAAGCCCCATCCACGGGATGCAGGCAGCATACAAAACCACGCCCCCTCCGGTCCGCAGAAAAACCTCTCTCTACGGAACCAGTCCCTGTGGGTATAATTTTTGGGTGTGTGTGGAATTTAAAGTCTTCCCATCTAAGTTTATCACCTAGATCAGAGGTCCCCAACCTTTTGGGCACCTCTGATCTAGGAGATAAACTTAGATGGGAAGGCTTTAAATTCCACACACACCCAAGAATTATACCCACTGTGTTCAGCCATAGATACTTTGATCAGGACTGGATATGAGCTAGATTTTACCCACAGAATACAGAAAATTGTATCAAATGAGCATTCTTCTAAATAAGGTTTGAGAGGCTGGGTTTCAACACGTGTGCTTGGGATTCAGGGAAGGGATCCCTAGTCACAAAAAGCAAGTGCAGCCTCAAAATTTAACCATGCCGTTCAGTAATTATGTCCTGGCAAAGAATCTGATTGCATGTCATGTTTAGGGAATCAGAAACTCTTGTTGGATATTTTCTTATTCATCTTAAGCTTCAGCAAATATGCAGGACTTTTTATGCACTCTTGTAGGTGTAACGTAACAGTTCAATTCCTTCAATCAATATTACAGCTCAGATCCTACACAGGACATTTTCTGTGACCTTGTCACATCCCATTCCTTGCTTCCTATGCACAGGAAGGCAGTAGTTGATGGGGTATTCAGTCAGGCCTACATTCTCCACACCCTGACTTTTGGGTTGGGTCAGCTACCAGCTTCTTTGATTTGTGAGTAGACGTCTATGTGTTTCCTGCAGCCTCTTTCCTTTTTTTGCCTCCCTGGTTCCCACAGGAACCTGGGAAATAGGCTGTGCCCTCATCTTTTGAGAGGAAACTGGATCAGGATAAGTGGGGAGGGACAAGGCAGGGGACAAGTGCCCATTTGACCTCATTCAGCTACTTCATCTCGGGTCACACCCTCAGTTTTCATCTGAGTATATGTCTGTGCATATTTATAAGTTTCTGCTCCACCTCAGCAGCAAAAATGTCATTTTTCACTCTAAATTTTATGTTTAAGAAGCCTCAAAGTCAAATTCACAAAGCAACTCTACAGAACTTGAATTTCAGGCAAAACTAGAAAAGGGGTGAAAATCAAACATATGACTTCACAATGTTAGAAACTACACAGTGGAAGTATTTTAAGATACCCAGCAGCCAGTTTTGAAAGAGCTTTGTTGATTTTAACAGAGCACAGAAAAAGGGAAGCCAAAAGGATTAGGGCACCTTTCTTATGAAGAAGTTCTTAAGTGTGGGATATTTAATCCAAGAGGAAAAATGACAAAAGGGAAATATTATAATCTGGAAAAAGTGAGATAGTATCCTTGTAATTATTAGAATGAGACTCAGGGTTACTCAGTAAAGTTTATTAGAATCGATCCAGGGAAGACAACATAATTTGCTATACACAGTTTGAACTTTCAGATTTTTAATCTAAATTGGAGGCGGATGAAATGTGGCTCTGGAAAACAATTCCCCCCTAAAGAGAAATTAACCTTCATAAAGATTGGGAGAGCCTGTCATCTTCCAGATATTGCTGACTACAGTTCCCAGCAACCATGGCTCACATAACCCAGAACTGAGAACTCCCTGAGTTAAAGAGTTGTTTGCCAGGTGATGTGATACTTAGTGGCATAGATACTCTCACACAGAAAATGAAAAAAAAAATATTATCAGTCTTGTATTTTTGTTCATCTGTATCGGCTTTCTCCAATGTTACACTTGCTAGGTTCAATGAGAGTTGCAGTCTAGTATGCCCAAAATGCAATACTGCAGGTCGGGTAAATGAAATCAGTAGCAAGATGAAATCGGTACCCCAGTATTTAGTATTAGCTTCTGTACAGAGAGAACTGGCTTAAGTTGAAGAGGGTTGCCCAGAAGTTGATTTGTCCACCGTCATTAGCGTAGCACTGAACCTGGATTTTGGTAGCTTCATACTGGGGAAGGTTGACAGTGTCATTTGTTTTGAGAACAGTATCATTGTGCTTTTCTGTTGCTTTCTTTGTTATTACAGTTGTACCTGCAAGCCAGATTTACTTGGAAAGGAGCCCGCCTGCTGCGCCCCTTGCTGCAGTTCACACTGATCATGATGGCATTTTACACAGGACTTTCTCGTGTGTCGGACCACAAACATCACCCCACAGATGTACTGGCAGGCTTTACACAAGGAGCCCTGGTGGCATATTGTATAGTAAGTCCTTCTACATTACCAGCTTATTATTTCAATAAATATCTGTAAATGTTACTTGTAACAAAACTGTACTCTGTTCCATAGTAGAGACTGCAACAGGTCTCCATTTAACTTAAAGCAAACATGAATTGTAGTATGGCACATAAAACAAACATTACTATTTAAGCACCATATATAAGGATTTTATCTCCATCACAGTGTGTGGAATATATATCCAACAGAGAGACACTGCTAGCGAGACACTTGGTTTGTTTGTGTATGTAGAAGATTTTTTATACTACACTACATCTGAGAATCTCAGTAAAACACTAACAATCTAAGCAGTAAAATAAACTAAACAGTAATAACACTTAGAAACGGAATAGATTAAAATCTGCAAACAAGGAAGTGACCAACAAGATTTCTTAAAATATTTCTAAGATAAATACACAAAGCTGGAAGAACCGGGACATTATAACAGGTTTTACATAATAATAAAGTTAGCTCTTGGCAAATGTTCCTAGACAGGATTTTTCCATCTGCTAGATATTGTCTTTCTTATCTCTGATCAAGATGGTACCTGGAAGCGAGCTATAGCATATGGGCTTATCATTTGAGCATGCTTGTGTAAGGAAAAGTGTTCTTTTTGACACCTACATTGCAAGTTGTTTTATGCTTTTAAAAGTGTCTGCCACCATACACTTGAAGAGATCTTACAGGTGGAGTCTTTCAAAATAGGCTTTTGTAATACTGCTTTTCTCTATGTAAATCAAGGATGCATTTTTAAAACGTGAAATCTATTTAATTTAAATTAAATTTTACTTCATTAATTAAATGCAATTAACATAATTACTTCCTATGAATTTGACATTAAATTAAAATTGTAATTCAGATGCAACTTTTGGAAGAGCTCAGAGCCACTCTTGTGGCTTTTGGAAGCTTGACGTGACTTCCAGGTACTACAGCCCTCCTATAAAGAAACTTGAAAGCCTTGGATTCACATTCTCGCAAAGTGTTGATTAGGTTTTGGCAATTGGTTTACTTAAATTTGTTGAAATGTTAAACTTATAGCAGAGTGCATCATTTAAAGTGATGAAATATTGAAATTGGATTTTTGTTTTGTCCAGTCTAAATGTTATATGTTTGTGTTAATGTGGGATAAGCCTACTTGTATTATGAAATCAGTCATCATAAGCTATAGAACTTGTTACTGTAAGACGAGAAAAAGGGCTATAGGATTTTAATACACTGGTTATAGTCTTGAGTGTCAGCCGAGAAGCAAAGGTGATGTTGTGTGCATCAGGATGACATGATGCAGATTATGTACTTACATCATGACACATCCAATGTCAGTTTGTTATTATCGCTTCTACCAGACATCTGTGGTTACAGGGCATTGATATCTGGGACACTGGCACTGCAATATGCTAAGAAATTGTTCTGGCCCACAGGCAGGTTTCATACTAGATACCCTGATTAATACTTCTGCCAACTAAATTTGGAATAATAGACAGCATCCCAGTCTTAGAAGCTCATGATGGATTGCATGGGGAGAGACATCTGGATACTATCAAACAGCAGTTATGTACGTGGAAGTGAAAGAGACTCCGAAGTTTAGCACAGACTGAAAAACAATATACTGTTTTTTGAAGATTGGTATAAATATCATTATAACAATATAACAGAGTTGGAAGGGACCTTGGAGATCTACTAGTCCAAACCCTGCTCAAGCAGGAGGCCCTATATCATTTCAGACAAATGGTTATCCAGTCTCTTTTTCAAAGCCTTCAGTTGATGGAGCACCCACATCGTCTGAAGGCAAGCATTGGTTAATTGCTCTCACCATTAGGAAAGTTCTCCTTAGTTCTAGGTTGCTTCTCTCCTTGGTTAGTTTCCAACCATTGTTTCTTGTCTTACCTTTTGGTGCTTTGTAAAATAGTTTGACCCCCTTGTCTTTGTAGAAGCCCTTCAAATATTGGAGCAGTAGTATCATGTCCCCCTGGTCCTTTTCATTAGACTAGACATACCTAGTTCCTGTAACCATTCTTCATATGTTTTAGTCTCTAGTCCCTTAATCATCTTTGTTGCTTTTCTCTGCACTCTTTCCAGAGTCTCAATATCTTTTTTTTATGTCATTGCGACCAAAACTGGATGCAATTTTCCAAGTGTGGTCTGACCGAGTATTATAAAGTGATATTAGCACTTCACATTGATATTATCCCTTTGTTAATGCAGCCTAGGACTGCATTGGCTTTTTTGGCAGTTGCAGCACACTACTGGCTCATATTTAAGTGATTGTCCAGTAAGACTCCAAGATCTCTCTTGCACTTACTGCTTACTGTTGAGCCAAGAATGGGCCCGGGGAAAGGGAGGAGGTTTACTTATCAGTAGATTGGATTACGTTGGCCTAGGTAAAGCCAAGCAAGAAAGGGAAAGGCACTCTTAAACCAAGAAAACAAATGTGGGTTTTCTGTATATAATGCTGGGGAAATGAAAATATATAAATGCCAAGTGACCTCTAGCCTTTCAGGTGTAATGTACAATGCTGAAACTCATGTGAAACAGCTGTTTTCTGCATTTCCCTCCAAAGGCATGTTTAGTGTTTGAAAAAAAGAAAAATAAAAAGCTTTATTTGAATTTGGGCCAAACTGGGCATATTACCAGCATAGCTTATTTTATTTATTTATTTATTCATTCATTCATCAAGTTAATATCTCATGAAAAAGTGACTCTGAGCAGAGTTGAATAAAAGCCATAAAACAGTATTATATAACAAACAATTATTATCCAAAATTGTGATTATACACTAAGAGGAGGACAGCAGATGTCAACAACAACGGAGCCTCAGTACGTAGCTGGGGCCCTGGGGCCCCAGGGCTGCTGGCATAACCAGATTTTGAGGGCCTTCCTTTCGGAAAATCAACAGGGAGCCAGCCTCATTTTGGGGACAGGATGTTTCATAAAAGGCCCATATCCTGGGTCCCACTCTGTAGCTCCCAGCAGATGGGACCCATAGCATACCTCTTCTGCTGAATCTGATGGGACAGGCAGATGTAATTGGGGAGAGGGGTCCCGCAAACAACTTGGCCCCATGCATAATTCACATAAGTGAATCCATAAATGATTACAATGGCTTTTTTCCCCTTCTTGTTTCCTAAAAGATTAAACACTTTTGAAAGCTTCTGAATATTTTCTCTCTTTCCTTCACCCCTCTCGTGTGCCATATAGGCAGAGCAACTTTGCTGAATGAAACTTGTTTGGTTTGGTTTTTTTTCTGTAGCTGCTTTGAGCAGGAAATAAGGGGGCTAATGAAGTAGCATTTTATGCCATGATGTTTTTTAGGTCTGCTGTATAGAAGTCTACCACTTATTTGATTAATTGGTTTCACTGTTGAACTACATTTATTATTAAAAAAGGTTCCCCCCAACAATTGAAATTTAACTTCCTGTTACAAAATCAGTTATTCTATATCCTAAGGCAGGAATGGGGATTCTTTTCAATTTTGGGAGTTGAAGTTCCCAAGTCATAAAGGGGCCATAGTTCCCCACCTCTGTCCTAAGAAGTGAGGAAAGAGAGATATTGCATTTCATGAAGTATCCTTTCAAATATTTGAAAAATACATTATATCTCTCAGTTTTTTTTCTTATCAAACTAATATGTATTGCTTTTCCAACCATTCTTCCATTAACTCAGCTTCTAGTTCCCTGAAATTATCTCTTTAAATATTCAATTTCTTCCCAGACACAACAATCCAGAAATGATTTGATTCCCATTTTCCATAGCTATTTATGAGGGAATGCAGTTGTGTAAGCATTCACATCATGTTTGTATTTGATAGCATTGTATATGTCATTGAACTAATTTCAGGCTTTTTCGTTTGTTTTTTAAAAAGAGTGAGCCAGGATGTGTTCATATGACACACTTAATCAAGAACTCCGATTAACAAATGTGTACATACTCCTCCTCTTTCTGTGTTAATTCTTTCACCTCTGGGGTTTATCGTGTTAACTAAGAGCTGAAGAACCACCATTTTGCCTTTATGAATCTGGAATTTGTAACTAGGGGTTGTTATAATCCTATACTTAATAGATGTAAGGCCACACTTGGAATACTGCATCCAGTTTTGGTCACCACGATGTAAAAAAGATGTTGAGACTCTAGAAAGAGTACAGAGAAGAGCAACAAAGATGATTAGGGGACTGGAGGCTAAAGCATATAAGGAACAGTTGGTGGAATTGGTATGTCTAGTTTAATGAAGAGAAGTACGAGGGGGGACATGATAGCAGTGTTCCAATATCTCAGGAGCTGCCACAAAGAAGAGGGAGTCAAGCTATTTTCCAAAGCACCTGAAGGCAGGACAAGAAGCAACGGATGGAAACTAATCAAGGAGAGAAGCAACCTAGAACTAAGGAGAAACTTCCTGACAGTTAGAACAATTAACCAATGGAACAACCTGCCTCCAGAAGCGGTGAATGCTCCAACACTGGAAGTTTTTAAGAAGAGACTAGACAGCCATTTGTCCGAAATGGTATAGGGCAGTGGTAGGCAACCTCGGCTCTTTTATGACTCATGGACTTCAACTCCTCTGGGAGTTGAAGTCCATGAGTCATAAAAGAGCCGAGGTTGCCTACCCCTGGTATAGGGTTACCTGCCTGAGCAGGGGGTTGGATTTGATGACCTCAAAGATCCCTTCCAACTTTATTATTATTATTATTAGATACCCAATTGTCTTATAGATGGGGAACAGAGGCTTATGACTCCTTATCAGTATCACTGTAGACACCAAATTTGGAGTATCATGAAAAAGCGGCAATTTTTAAAATTTTCTCATAGTTTTGTTCTCTGCCCTAGATGAAGCATAGAATTCAAGATGTATCGAATTATTGATGATCTCATGGCACAGAAGTGAACAACTTTAGGCAGACAATAGAAGAGATGGACAGTTTCACTGTTTCCTGTGCAGTGACAAGTTACAAATCCAACATACTTTTCCTGAACAGTTAACAGATGGCCTGGTTTAC